ATAATCCCATTTTATTTATAAATTTTCCGCAGAAATTATCAATATAAAGTTGTGCAAGTATCGTAATATCAATAATTATTAATTATTAATTAGACAGTTTCTTGTCAATTCTTTCATCTTGGAATATACGTTACATCTATTCACTGCTCTTGTCAAACATAATCCCATTTTATTTATAAATTTTCCGCAGAAATTATCAATATAAAGTTGTGCAAGTATCGTGATATCAATAATATTAATTATTAATTAGACAGTTTCTTGTCAATTCTTTCATTTTGGAATATACGTTACATCTCTTCACTGCTCTTGTCAAACATAATCCCATTTTATTTATAAATTTTCCGCAGAAATTATCAATATAAAGTTGTGCAAGTATCGTGATATCAATAATATTAATTATTAATTAGACAGTTTCTTGTCAATTCTTTCATTTTGGAATATACGTTACATCTCTTCACTGCTCTTGTCAAACATAATCCCATTTTATTTATAAATTTTCCGCAGAAATTATCAATATAAAGTTGTGCAAGTATCGTGATATCAATAATATTAATTATTAATTAGACAGTTTCTTGTCAATTCTTTCATTTTGGAATATACGTTACATCTCTTCACTGCTCTTGTCAAACATAATCCCATTTTATTTATAAATTTTCCGCAGAAATTATCAATATAAAGTTGTGCAAGTATCGTAATATCAATAATTATTAATTATTAATTAGACAGTTTCTTGTCAATTCTTTCATCTTGGAATATACGTTGCATCTCTTCGCTGCTCTTGTCAAACATAATCCCATTCTATTTATAAACTCTTCGGGCATATCTGTAGCGAAACACAAGTACATGATCGAACAGCGAGCGTTTTGTTGCAGCCGTAGGAACATTCAATTCACAAAATCACTAAATATCAAATGAGGAAGGAGCTTCGTATTCGTATTATCAGAGTATACAAAGTAAACCCAAAGGGGTTGTACGAGTGAATAAACCCAAAGAGTGAAGAGTGGCGCATGATCGGGAGGAAAAAGGGTGGTAGGTCGATTCTGTGGCGGCGGGGTGGCGGGGGGGGGGGGGGGGGGGGGGGGGGGGGGGGGGGGGGGGGGGAGGTCAGGAAGGCCGCTAATAGGTTAATTTGAATTTTCATCCCTGACCTCGGGACTATTCTCGTCTCCTGGTAGGAATAATGGCCGCGCGAGGGCGGTTGAATGCGAGGCCTAAATGGGTTGGCTCGGGGCTCTCTCTCTCTTGGGGGCGAAAGAAGGGGGGGGGAGGGGGCGCATTGACGCGGACGAAAAGGTTACTTCAGCTCCGGGAGATTGCCCGGAGTCCATTGACGTGTCCAACGGCGCGCTCGTCAAAGGAAAGAGAAGAAGGGGAAAAAAAAAGAAGAAGAAGAAGAAGAAGAAGAAGAAAAACGAAAGAATGGCGGAAGAGGTTTGCTCCGGGTTGCGAAGAATCGCGACTCCCCTCGTGATGTTGCATCAGCAGGGGGTTCCCTGCTCGAGAGCCTGGCAATCCTCCCTCTCTCTCTCTCTCTCTTTCTCTCTCTCCTCCCTCTTGTGTGCATCGCGCATGTTTCTTGGCGCGCCTCGGGTCAAGGAGGGACCCGCGTGGCTATTTTTTCCCCCCTCGCGAGCATGCGTTTTTTTCCCCCCCCTTTTTTTTTTTTCTCTCCACCTCGACCAGGTGAGAAGCGATCCGTGAGAAACAGAGGGAGAGAGAGAGAGAGAGAGAGAGAGAGAGAGAGTGAGTGAGTGAGTGAGCGGAAAACATTGGCGACGACCGGTCGTCGTCGACGTCGTCCTCCACGGAAGGTTACAACGCGACCGTGAAGAGGAGTCTCGCGAATTTCCTTCTCCCGTTTCGTGGGAACGCGCGCGTGTTTTCAATTCACGACGATAATCGGAATACGCGTCACCGGTGTACGATGAGAAGCGCCACGCGACGCCTGGAAGAATGCGATCGCCCGTGCCCTTTCGGATCACCTGGGACGCGATCCGACGAGGAACGACACTCGAAGGTACGGTAGAAGAGACGTTGCGAACCTGTTAGAATTTACGAATATACGAAGAAGTATGTGAGTATACGAATATATGTACGTAAGTCGAGTCCCCCGCGTCAGTCACAGGTAGGATAAATTTGCAAAAAAAAAAATCTCAGCGACTTGACGAGTTTTTAACCAGTTTAACAGTTTGAACATTTTTCTTGTCGCCTTTAGGCACGCAATTGCTGATTTAGTTGAATTAGTCGTTCGTAGAATGATTAGTGATTGCACCATACTTGTTGGTAAAGGTTAGCTCGTCAGATTAGAGATTTTTACCATTTTTCGTGTACAAAATGATAGCAATTGTCACATCGTGATCCAAGTGAGTAGTATCTCTTCGGAAACATGTATTAGAATATGAATAATGATTTTTGTACATCGGCGGAGAAAGACGTGACGCTTACGTGACAGACAAAATGGCCGACAATGTGTCTGTTGATATCGAGTCGCCATACACAGTAGCAAAAGTAGAGTAGAAATGATCTCTAACCCGGCAAACTCGACAAACACAGACTCGACGAAAATGAAACTCGTTTCAATCAATCGCGATCGAGATCGTTGGACAACGCTTCGGCTCGCTGTTGAAAAACGGGGAAAATTCGCGAAAAACAAATAATCTCGCGCTTTGGCTCACGAGATCTGGATCTTGCCCGCGGTTTTCTTGCGTAACCGGATCTAGTTCTCATCTCGACGCTGGCCTCTCCTTCTTCTTCTTCTTCGTCGTCGTCGTCTCCTTCGTCGGCGGGGATTCACTTTCTGGGGTAGGTCGCGTAACTCGTTCACCTCGCACCCGTTACAAATTACCCCGGCCATTTATCGTCCGCGTTCGAGAGAGAGAGACCGTTTCTCTTCCTTTCACATGCACACTGACCACCGTGTAAATAAATATATTTGAAACGTTCTAAAATTCTAAATTACCCTCGAAATTAGCCGTTCCTCGATCGTTGCCTGATTAACGTTTGCACTTGCAGTCTGTCCGACAATGTTGATCGAACGTCGAGAATTTTTCTTTTTTTTTTTTTTTTTTTTTTTTTTTTTTTAGTCGAGGAGAGACTCCTCGGCCTCGGGATTTGTCTTCTTCTTCTTCTTCTTCTTCTTCTTCTTTTTCTTTTTCGTTTCGAGCAAACGACCTTGAGCCACGTTCGGACAGCGGGGATTTTCAGCTCGTCCATTTCGTGAAATATTTCAACGTCGGGCCGGATGATGTAGATAAAGTGCGAACGTCCGAAGATGGTACGCGCCCGCGGCTTGTTTTACTTTTTCTGCCTCCGCTCTTCGTTGGCTCAACTTGGCGCGCAATAACACGGGGCCCGGCGTACACGGGCCCCGGATAGAAATAAATACGCGGGGTTAGACAGAGCCATAGATCACCTGTATTCGGTACCATCGGTGTTCGCTGTGGTGCGCTGTGGCACGTTGCTTTTTTTTCTACTACTTCTTCTTCTTCTTCTTCTACTACTTCTTCTTCTTCTTTTTTTTTTTCTGCCTCGTACCGTACTCGTCGATCGAGCCAGCCAGCGCACGCTCGATCTCGTCACGCGAGATTCACTTTCAGAAACTCTCAGAGCGAGGAAATGAAGAGATTAATTTTCGATTCGATCCTCGAAATCGCGGATCTTGGCCATTGTTCTCCGACGACTTTCGAAATTGCTCTCTTACGAGCGATTAAACGAGTATCGAGTCGACACGAATTAAAGTATAGCGCCAGAGGGGGGCTGTTGCTTTCGTAATAACTAGACGTAACAAAATGGACAAAATGAACGTTTGAATATTTTTGTTATATATTCTAAAACTGTATTTTTGGAAACTCGACAGAGCTACCAAAATGATCGTTTGAATATTCTTGTTATGTATTTTGTAGATATGAAACAGTGTATTTTGGGGGAACTCGACAAAACTATCAAAATAGTCGAAATGATCGTTTGAATATTTTTGTTACATATTTTGTTACATATATATATAAAACAGTGTATTTTTGGGAACTCGTCAGAACTACCAAAATGGTCGAAATGATTGTTTGAATATTCTTCTTATATATTTTGTGGATATAAAACAGTGTATTTTTGGGAACTCGAAAGAAACTAAAGTAATTTATACACTCGTGTTTCCAACAGTGTCCAAACAGAAGTTAGTTAGTTTTAAGTTAATTCAAACGATAGTGTGAAATCAGTCACGTCGATCAGGGTTCGATTGTCATGGTACCGTGATAAAATTAAAATTAGTTAAATACAACAAAATTAGTTATACACATACAATATGTATAATAAAATTAATAGTATAATATAATTAAAATTAATATAATATAATATTATATTGTATAATATAATATAATTAAAATTAGTTAAATACAGTAAAATTAATTATACATATACAATAGTATAATAAAATTAATAGTATAATATAATTAAAATTAATATAATATAATATTATATTGTATAATATAATAATTTATAGTATAATATAATATAATTAAAATTAGTTAAATACAGTAAAGTTAGTTGTACATATACAGTAGTATAATAAAATTAATAATATAATATAATTAAAATTAGTTAAATACAGTAAAATTAATTATACATATACAATAGTATAATAAAATTAATAATATAATATAATTAAAATTAATATAATATAATAATTTATAATACAATATAATATAATTAAAATTAGTTAAATACAATAAAATTAGTTATACATATACAATACGTATAGTAAAATTAATAGTATAATATAATTAAAATTAATATAATATAATAATTTTAGTATAATATAATATAATTAAAATTAGTTAAATACAATAAAATTAGTTATACATATACAATACGTATAATAAAATTAATAGTATACTATAATTAAGATTAATATAATATAATATTCTATTGTATAATATAATATAACTAAAATTAGTTAAATACAATAAAATTAGTTATACATATGCAAGAGTATAATATAATTAAAATTAATATAATAATATAATAATTTATAGTACAATATAATATAATTAAAATTAGTTAAATGCAATACAATTAGTCATACATATACAATACGTATAATAAAATTAATATTACAATATAATTAAAACTAATACAATACAATAATTTATAGCATAATGTAATATAATTAAAATTAATCGTACATATACATATGCAATAAAATTAAAATTAGTCAAATACAGTACAATAACAAAAATTGCACAGTTATTCATAAGAAAAAGAAACAAGTACATAATATCTTTTACAGGCGACTGTCATTTTAAATATTCCGCCGGTTAAGCTTCACCGTGAAAACACGATGCCGACTAGTCATAGTTCCTCAGACGTTGCATTCTTGAAAAAAAAAAAAAAAAAAAAAAAAAAAAAAGATACAACGGGGGACAGCCGAACGATTCGTTGGACGTTTTTATGAGGACGAGGATCGTACGCGCGCGTAATTTCCATGCAGATGGCGGCCTATCTCTAATTTACGTTGCAACTTCGGTTCTCCCGATCGGGTGATCATAATTGCTGGTAACGGTAGTCGTTAGCGCTTGGTCGTGGCTGCGGCATTGCCTATCCGTCAGTAATCTAACGCCGTGAGGCGCGACGCCTCCGATAATTACAATGAAGCTGTAACCACCTGTACCAGGAAGCGAGAGGGTGAATCCACCTCCCATTAGGCCGGAGATAATTTTACATTTTACGCTTCGCCCCCCCCCCCTCCCCCCTCCCCTCGGTGTTTTCCGGCTGTGTCACCTATTTTCCTTTAAGGATTCATCGCCGAGACTTGGGACCGAGACTTGTTGAAATCTGAACGCGATTAAACCCCCCTTAAGAGTATAGTCGTCATGAAAAGATGAAATTTCTTTGGAAAAAAAGAAGCAAACTTCGCTTCTGCTATTTCTGCTTATATTGTAAAATTTAGATAGAAAACATTACGTGCATTTTGTAATTTTAGCACATTTTAGAATATTTCAAAACGAACGAAGAAAAATACGCACTTGATGGTAAAGGGAATTGTTCGGAGAAGTATGGCAAATTGAATTTATATCTTAAGTCTCAATCTTGCAGATATTTGACTTTTTATGAATTGATGGAAATTTCACAATTTCGTGGTTTTTTCTTTATGGAATAATTTTCAAGAAGTATAAAAAGAACAAAATCAAGTTCTGTAATACTTAATTTAAAAAGAAAACATAAAATCAGAAAATATAATTGTTCAAAAGATAAAGGAATAAAATCGTGTGTTCTGTAATACTGTAAATTTTCAAAAAAAAAAAAAAAAAAAGACACCAAAAGAATTTATCACTCTGTTATTAATTTAACTTCAAGTTATCTCCTAAAAATAATTGAGCACATTCGCAAAACAAAACGACGCGATCGAGCCAAGCGTTGCAATTAATGCACGATTGTGTGCACGTTCGATGTTGTAACATAACGGATATAATTTTCGTTCGCAGCTCAAGTACAAAAGGCGGGTGTACAAGATGCTGCATCTGGACGAGAAACAACTGAAGGCGATGCACACGAGGACGAACCTGCGAAGGCTACTGGAGTACGTGGCAAACAGCCAGGTGGAGAAGATCGCGAAAATGTGCAGCAAGGGCCTCGATCCAAATTTCCACTGCCAGGAGACCGGAGGTAAAAAAAAAAAGAAAGAACAACCGATTATAGCAATCTCTAGCATCGAGAGTCGAGAGTCTCTGCAAAGGAGTTGTTTATTTATGTAAAAGCTTCGTGGCTTCGAACACTATGGCTTTACACTGCATTATACAAAATTTTAATATATATATAATTATATATAATAAATATAAATATTATATTATTGTATATAAATATTATATATAAATTTTAATATATATATATATATATATATATTTTCTTGAGTTGAGAATTGAGAATTCCATTATAAATTACTGACAAATTTCGATACACTGATCGAGGATTTCAAACTACTAGAAGAGATTATCATTGATAATGTAACGAATAGTAATAATAATAATAATATAGTAATATAGTATAGTAATAATAATAATAATAATAATAATAATAATAGTAATAGTAATAATAATAGTAATAGTAATAATAATAATATAGTAATATAGTAATAATAATAATATAGTAATATAGTAATAGTAATAATATAGTAATATAGCAATAATAATAATAATAATGTCTTTATTTATATTTGTCATAAGGTAAATTTATACGTAAAACTGAAATTTTCAAGGTCATGTTCTTCACATATCTGGACGTACTTTTTTTTTACCAACTGCACGATACAACAAAAAAGAAATATATATATATATATATATATATATATATGAGAAAAAAACATCAGTCGGACAGTAAAGTTTGAAAAGTAAACCTTGAAAAAAAAATATATGCAAAACAATTCAATAATTCTAAAATTTAATTATTGGCCATTCGATACAATTCGCGTTTGAGCATGAAATATTTTCTGCCATCGTCACGCGTTCGAAAAGATATTGAAAAATTATAATTCTACGTCTAGAAATCAACGTTATATTAAACACTGCGCGAATATAACGTTAGAAATTATAATCTCATATTTATTAATAACAATTTAAACGAAAAGTGGCGTGTCAGGGATTTCCCTCGAGTGACGATCCGTTGCTTCGGCAATTCAATTTGCAGAAACTCCGTTGACCTTGGCGACGACCCTGAAGAAGCCGTCGAAGGTGATAATTGCGCTGGTGAACGGCGGCGCGTTGCTGGACTATCGGACGAAGGAGGGACTGACGGCGATGCACCGCGCCGTCGAGCGGAACAGCTTGGAGGCGGTGAAGACGCTGCTCGAGCTCGGCGCCAGCCCCAACTACAAGGACACCAAGGGACTGACGCCCCTCTATTACAGCGTCATATACAAAACGGACCCGATGCTCTGCGAGACGCTTCTCCACGACCACGCGACCATCGGCGCCCAGGATCTGCAAGGATGGCAGGAAGTGCATCAGGTCTTTCTCTACATTACGACATACGCAGCGAATTTTTCAAAAAAAAAAAAAAAAGAAAGAAAGAAAGTGGGGGGGGGGCAGATAGTGAAACATTGAGAAAGAGAGCAGAGCTTTGGACATTTAGCGTGGAGGAACACGTGGTGAGGGTTGAAGGACAGGGGGAACGTAGAGGAAAAAGAGAAAGAGTATGGTTTAATTATAATCGCGGCCCCCCCCCCCGTTCGATAATCGATACTTGGTTGTGTTCGCAGGCCTGCCGCAACAACCTGGTCCAACACCTGGATCACTTGCTTTTTTACGGTGCGGACATGAACGCGCGTAACGCGTCCGGTAACACGCCGTTGCACGTTTGCGCAGTGAACAACACGGACTCCTCTTGTATACGCCAGTTGCTGTTCAGAGGCGCGCAGAAGGACAGCCTCAACTACGCGAACCAAACGCCATACCAGGTCGCCGTGATCGCCGGGAACATGGAGCTGGCCGAGGTTATTAAGAACTACCAGCCGGAGGAAGTTGGTGAGTGCCCAGCCACGCCACCGACAGATAGGCGAGAAAAAAACCCATCGTGATTAGACGAAGGAGGAATTTTGTTGTTCTTTCGATCGATCGAGCAAATATATATATTTATATTTATATATATATATACACACGCTGTACTTCGTGTACCACGCGACCGCTGCTCCGGCTCGATTCATTCGCCAGTCGTTCGGCTAACTATGCTTGTGTAACGGCAGCTGATCGTTGCTCGGTCAGTAGGCAAACACATCGCGAAAGACTCGACTTTACGAACAACGACAAACAACAGAGCAAAGACGCGACAACTTTGAGATCGACAGCTGGTGAAAAACTTCTTAAACATGGCACGTCACGAATTTAGCATTGGCATGTGCATGTACGTAGTAACGCTTCTTTTCTTTTTTTTTTTCTTCTTTTCTCTTCTCTTTCATTTCCGAAGAGAAACACGCTTCAACGCTTGCCCGTAGCGTAGCGAAGAGTACCTAGCTGGCTAGCGACTCCATATAGACTAGTCTAACGATGTAAATATATGACACACAAATATATATCATATACATATATGTATATATATATATGTATTTTCGTATGTATAATTGTGCGTATGTATCTGTGTCTGTGCTGTATGACAAATGTACATGAAATTGTAACAGTCTGATGGGATCTTTGGTGGTGATGGTCTTGTAAGACGTCGAGTATCTCTGTAACGATATATATATATATAACGAGTAAACGTAATACGAGTTGAAGTTTGAAACTGCTTCTGAGTAACTATACTAACGATGCCGTATCATTTTTTTTTTGATCGTCGATCGTCGATCGACTCGGCCCGCTCTGTCGGATCCGATCCGAGCTTGCTTTCGTGGGGCGAAAAATGAACGAACCACTTGGATTTGAACCACTTGCGCTGGCAAACTGATTGCGGACCGTAACGAGTGACCGAGCCCGTACACAACGACTCGTCGCTATATAGAAATTATATTTGTTTCTTGCTTGTTTTGTTTTGCTCGAACACACATGAAACTGAGACAAGAGATGTTAGACAATTTTCGGACAAAAGATAAAACGCGACAAAAATTCCAGCGCAAGAGGTTGAAACAAAGTCAGAAAGCAGCGGCCAAGTCGTGAGTGCGAGTCGACTAGTAATGTTTGGTAGTTTCTTTTCGACGTATTTTGTGAATTTACGTACCCACGTACGCCACGTACGTCGCGGGCCACTGGAACCTCCTTGAAGGAGGTAATGGAAATATGAAATTCTTTTGATTGATCGATCGATCGCTTCGGAGAAGTGATCCAGCGGCTCGTCGACGCGGCAACCACGAGATCACCGGTGCACATGTGCTGTGTCTGTTTTGAAAAAAA